CTGAGAAATTATTTCTGATTTCATTTTTTCCAGATCCCCTTTTGTTGCCAGTTCAGTGGGTCCAGGTAGTTGAATATCAGAGTGTTCCATCTCATATCCCTTTGAGGTTGCTGTAGGTGATCTGGAAGTCTGGTTTTGAGACTTATTTACCTGTTTTCTCATTTTGACTGGCGGGGGCGCTGTTAGCGCCTGCACAGATTACCTCCTCTGAGCTGGGAGAGATGGAACAGGGGCCACGAGCAGTGGTAAGGATGGTGACCCAAAAGCCCTTTCCTGTGGGCTGGGAGCAGCAGGGGGCTGGTGGTTGGAAAGCCCCTTCCTCTGGTCCAGGAGCAGTGGGATGGTGTCTCAGTAGCCCCTACCTCTGAGCGGGAGTGGTGGGAGGGATGGTGGCCCAGAAGCACCTTCCTCTGGGCCAGGAGCAGCAGAACAGAAGGTGGCCCAAAAACCCTTTCCTCTGGTCTGGGAGCAGCGGGAAAGATGGTGGCTGGGAATCCCCTTCCTCTGGACCAGGAGCAGTGGGATGGCGGTTCAGAAGCCCCTATCTCTGGGCCGGGAACAGCGGGACTCAGTACTGTGGTCTGGTGGTCTGGTGTCCTCTGCGTCTTTGTAGTGTGGAGCCAGGTGGCTGTAGAGAGGAGCTGGGGTGGGGGTCCAATGGATTGTTGCTGGGGCGTGGGCTGATTCAGCGTGTTCCGGGTGACTTGGGACCTTGGTAGGGCGTGTGAAGACTTGCCTGTCTGCAGAGGGATGATTTGGCCTCTTCCAAGCAACTCAAGTGTTGTTTTCATTTGCATATCTCAGATGACCAGTGATGTTGAACATTTTTTCATATGTTTATTTGCTGTTTCTACTTCTTTGCCTGAGAAACATCTGTTCATTTCAGATGCCCATTTTTGGATTGGCTCTTTAAATTTAAGGGGTCTGATTTTTTAAAGTTCTTTATATATTCTAGATAGTAGGACTTTGTCTGAGGAACAGCTGGTAAAATTTTTTTCCCACATTGCAGGTTGTCTCTTCACTCTGTTGGTGGTTTCTCTTGCTGTGCAGAAGCTTTTTAATAAGTTGAGGTCCTACTTGTTCATTCTTTGTGCTAGTTCATGTGTGATTGAGGTTTTGTTCATGAAATCCTTTCCTTTGCTGATGTCTTCAAGAGTTCCATCTAATCCCTCTTCTAGCTGGTTTAGTGTTTCTGTTTTAATATTTAGATCTTTGATCCATTTAAATTTTACTTTAGTTCATGGTGAGAGATATAGGTCTAGTTTTAATCTTTGGCAAATTGAAACCCAATATTTCCACCACTATCTATTAAAGAGACTGTCTTTCCTCCAGTGAGGGTGTTTGGATCCATTGTCAAAGATGAAGTGGCTGAGTATGTCTTGTTTCTGTGTCTTATAATCTGTTCCACTGATCCTCAGGTCTGTTTCTTTCCCAGTACCATGCTGTTTTTATCATAGTTTGCTAATGAATTTTAACATGAATCAGATGGAATAATTTTTATTAGACTTATGTATGCATGCATACACTCATGTATATGTATACATATGAGCCATATGCGAAAATATCTAGTTTTTATTTTTTGTGGGCCACAGATGGGTATTGAGTCCTTGGTTATGATCAGCAAGGTAAACACATAAATACCTAAGGGTATGTGTATACAGGCACACACACCACTCATTTCTTTTACAGATGAAAACATGCTTATTTTTTTCTGGGATTGTGAATTAGTATGAAATAACATTAAAGGAGAGGAAAGAAACCTTCTCATCTAGGTTGTTGGCCATATTCCTTTTTAAGATCTATTCAGAAGTACGAAATCCCCTAATATACTATTATAATAAGCACATAGTTTACAGTGAATGCCTAAAGGGAACATGTACATACATTTTTCATAATGGTAGAAGGGTAGAAATAATAGAGGAAGTACAACTCTTCTGATGGGATCAATTGGATTTGCACAATGTTGAGAGCTATGCTATTGAATCACTATAGATTCTTTTCCAGTTAAAAGAAAATTGAAACTGGAGGACTGAGAAGACAGTGAGAAAGAAGAAAAATCTTAACCATGGAACTAACACTGTCTCAATCAGGATAAATAAAATTTTTAAATCCTTAAAGAAACCTAGTAAACTTTTTCATGATTCCAGTTATACCAGAATATACATATGGCCTTGTGGTACCCAGCTCTCTCATTATAAGGTAGTTGATTTCTTTATTTTTAACTGATATACATAAAAGTTGTACATATTTATGAGGTGTCTATAATATTTCAATACTTATATACATCATATAATGTTCAACTCAGGACAAACCTATCCTTATACTTAAAATATTCAAAATCCCCTAGCTTTCTCTTTAAATAAATATATTGTTATCTAGGGTACTATGGTTTAAATAAGTGTCTCCAAATGTTCAATGTGTTAAAGACTTGGCTCTCAAACCATGGCATTGTTGGGATTTTGTAGAATCTTTAAGAGGTGGAAGCTGGTGGGAGGGCCTTAAATTATGGGAGACAGTGCCTGCAATGGGATTATGGAACTGCAGTCTCTTCCTCTTTATCCTTTTTTGTATTTTGGCCATGAAGTAAGTTCTGCTCTGCCATGAATTCCCCCCCATGAGATGTTTTCACAACCCTAAGCAATGGGCCCAACTAATCATAGAACCAACATAAACTTTTTTGATAAGTTGATTATCATAGGTATTTGTTATAATAACAAAGATAACGAACACATATAGTCAGATATAGTCACACATATAGTGCAATAGAAAATTAGAACTTCTTTTTCTTAATTATGAATAACTGACTTTTTAAAGATGTTTGCAATAATTTACTAGGATAGTTATCATTTATTTGGTTGCAAACATGCAGTTAGCCTTCTCTGTAAATTTTTCCTGACCTGCCTGTAATTGCGCCTTGTATAATGTGATTTGAATGGCCCATATCTGAACTCTGGGGAGGGCAAGTGAGAATCTGGATTGAAAGTAGGGAACATATGTAGTTTGAAAAAGCCCTGAGGGGATTTTCATATTCTTTTGTCTATATCTAAATTGATGTTCACTACTATGATGCAAACATTTCATTTTTCAAGTGAAAAATAAGGACCAGAAAAGTATCCAAAATCACAATGAAAGCAAAGTAAAAGTCAAATTTAGGTCTCCTCAATTATCTTCTAGTTCTTTTTACTGCATTACTGTCTGAGCTCACAGTGTATGAAGATAATACTACTTAGAAATAAAAGACATATTTTCCCATCTTTCCCTAATGTAACTTAATGCTTGTATGACTTTCAAATAGTATTTCATGAAGCTTTTGGTCTTTACATAAAAATGATTAAATAATTAGAATTTATGCACCAGATGCAAATATGAAATGAATAAACTTTATCATTTAGCCATTGCTTCACTCCAAAATACAAATTACAAAAACAAAAAAATATATCCATTGCCTGAAAGGAAAGGTGGGGTGTCACATCCTGAGCAAGATGAAGCAATTTCCTGAGCTAGTCATAATGAAGTGAAATAATAATCTCTATGGCAGTGTTATAGAGGCCTTAAATGAAATGCAGTTAAAAAGTTCTAATAAGATGCAATGCTTTCTTGACTTTGCTTATATATTTTTCTTTATTTGTATTATGATAATATTTGTATCAAGAAATAGTTTAATGAATAGTCATATGACATCAAATTCCAAGGAACCAAATTCATACTCTGAGTTTTCTGTTCAACATATTGTAAGAAATACAGTCTTGAAATATTAGGAATACATTTATTTTAAAGTATGTAGAAAGCTTTCTGGAAAACTTTTACTAACAAATTATTGAAATTTCCTATTAACTTTGAGATAAGTAAAAAGGACTTTGTATTTTTCAGTTCTGCTTTTAAAAGAAGTATAAATCAAGAAAAAAATGAGGAGAGGAGATTGTGACAACTGATATCTGGCAACCAGCCTTGGGCTGATGTATGTAGGAGACCAAATAGAACTGGAAAAGCCCCTTTATTCAGTATCATTGAACAGTCAAATCTTCTTCCTTCCATTTTATCTCTATAGAAAAATACAGCAAGCAAACAAAAAAAAGATCCTCTTCTATATGGCATCCAGTGTTCCATAAAAGATGAACATGACTAGGAAACAATTATTTGGAGAATTGTTCACGTTAGGAAAAGAAAATGCAAAGCAAAGTCAATTCTATCTACAGAGATAGGAAGATGCCACACCAGATAGAAAAAGCACAGCTTTTACCACTTTTTTCCTTAAAGTAAAGCTCAGCTTATTTAATCTGAGAAATCTCAGCAGTTAAATTACTCATTGCAGGCTTTTAATTTTCATTTGTTCATATGGAAAGTTTGTACACATTTATTCATATGGTACCTTTTTCCCTGTTTCCAGCCATTCTAGGGCTGGGAAAATGGGTCCTAATATTTTATGAAAGGGGTCCTTTCTCTTTTTGTTCTTCAGTTTTTATTTTTTATTAGTATATGTTTGCGTTACATAATGATTCCATTCTTTGTGGGGAGTTGGAACATGTACGTAGCCCATCTTAATTCTTTTCTCATCCACATTCCCTCCCCCACCCTCTCTCTCCATCTTTTGATCCCTTTCCCATTTCAAAAATATCTCTCTCCCTATTTCCTATTATCTTTTATTTTGCTCTTTATTTATATTTTGGGTTTCTTATATAAGAGAAACCATAAAATATTTAAGCTTGTGTGTCTGATACTTTTCACCTAACATTATCCATTTTTCTACAAATGACTCCAGTTTATCCTTTGTGGTAGAGAAGTCCTCCATTGTGTATAAATACCACATTTCCTTCAATATAGAGAAGTTTAGAAGGAAAGGAAAAGGAGTACATAAAATCTAAGTTTCAATCTATTTAATACATATAAATGAGGTATCATTTTGAAATGTAAACAGTCTTCATAAACAAAGGTTAGACATAAAACTTTATTCTTAAAATGTAAAATGTAATTTGTTCTTAAAATGTAAAAGGCACAATAGTGAAGAAGAGCTCACACATTACAAAAAAGAAATACTCTTACCAGCCCTGAATGAACACTGACCACTGGCCAGGAGCTATCCTTAACTCATTTAATCCACACAACAACCCTCTAACACAGCAGAACCAGATGTAGAAAGGTTGAATCACTTGCCTAAATCCCTGATGTTGGCAAGGGGTGGTTCTAGCAAAACCCCACACAATTCTACCACTAGGCTGACTTCTCCAGAAGGTTGTGTCAACCGAGGGCTTAGATCCATCTATTTGGTATATTCCTAAGGCATCTCTGCATCATTTAGTCTCCATATGTAGAAAGAAGGTTAAAAGTCATGGTTTAAAGTTAATTTTAAAATCAATGAAAATAACTATACCTGAACATGACTTCTTTTGACTTGGAGGGGGAACAGGTCGTACAACTATCAGATACTTTGGCTCTGCATCTGGAAACAATGATAACATAATTTATTAGTAAAATCCTTTCAGAACAAGCATTGGAAGCAGCACGCCCATGCCCTGACTCAGCATTTCCTGGGGTTATTTACCCTCCATCCCCACAGGACCAGTGAATGAGAGGTCCAGGAATGCACAAAGTTAATATTTCCTGAGAAGTCTATTATGTTTCAAAATTGAAAATGAAATCCAGATTTTCAAAGCTAAGTGGGAAGGTGCTGGAAAGCATTAACCATGCTAGACACAGATTTTATGCCACATTTCCATCAATATTTTTCTCTGTTAGAATTTTTTAAAAATCAGATTATGCTCACACTGTTAGGCTTCTCCTCACAGAGAGGTAACCTGATAGCCCAAAATTAGAGAAGGGAAGGTTAACATAAGACATGTGGGTCTCATATGTCCTATAATCTGAAATTGCTCATTTTCACGGGAACATAAATATTTATAATGTCTTACCTCATTAAAAAATATGTATCAATAAAATATAAGTTAATGAACAATATTTTAAAAATATCTAGGTGTAAATAAAATTATGTTAAAATAACCAGTATGTGCTAATTCAATAAGGAACTAATAATTTATCAAATAATATTTTTAAGTTGATGCTTCCAAGATGAATATTGGTTAAACATCTGTGAATAAAGCAAATATATTTAGGACACAAAATAACACCTAGCAGCAGCTTTATTGGATTACTAACTGGTTGATGAGTATTATCTACAATATTTTTTTGGAACCTTTGTACCCTGTAGTTTATTCTACACCAAATTTTACTTGAGTGCTACAGTCAAGCAATTCACCTCTATCTGCTCAGGGAGACCTCATTCATACCTTCACTTTGTTTTCCTTCTGGATTTAATTATTTTCCTTCCATGAATTTGGAACAGAAGCCTTCTTGCCCAAAACTTTATACAACTTACTTCACTTTCAGATGGAGACAACCTGGCAATACAACTGCCTTTGAGGATACATGCCTTTATCTTTTTCTAGACATGCCTTACAACTCATTTGGTATAACCTGCCACAGTGATTACCAATGAAGAAAGTAACCTAGGAAACTCTGGAACTCATCTTGGGCTTTCCCCTGTGATTGTAGAGTTGTTTCATGACTACTACGCAAATAAGGACCCTTCATTCCATTCCAGAATCTTATGTGTTCAAAAGTATACATTGCTTATGGGAGCTTATATAAGGAATTCTTCACACAAATCAAATAGGTACCCCAGTAGAACTACAATAATCATTGCTTAATTTTATTGGGAATATAGAGCAACATAGGTATTAGCAAACTACCATGTACTGAGTGCTTTCTATATGCCAGACACTGTGTTAAGATCTTGATATTCATAACCTAGTTTCTCCTATGGCAATTCTACCTGGAACATTACTATTATTCCAATTTGTAATGGTGACATTACTGAGGTAGAGTCATTTTTACAGACATCCAAGACACAGGTCCTCCATGCTTGGCTTAATGCTTTGTTGTCACCATCTTGAAATTCTTAATACTTTTATCTTTGAAATTGTGTTTTGAAAGAGAAGTATAATAGGATCATGGAGCATGCATGTAAGCAGAGGTAATGGGAACAACATACATGACTGTAGGTTTTTTTCCTTCTTGTTTGCATAGCATTCCATGTACTCCATTATCATAACATTTATAAGGGCCCAGAGTGTGCAAGAGTTTGGCAAGATAAAAGTAGAACAAAGCAAACATGCATGTCACATCTGCCACTGAGTAAGCAGGTGTATGTGTGGGTTCACTAAGACCTCTGACAGGCTACACTTTGTATTTGAGCAAGAATTTACTTCAAATGCAGAAAGACAATAGTATTTGAAGAAACATGGACAGCCAAGGATTCCTATCATATCCCTTCTTATTTCTGTTACTTCACTGCTTTAGCCAACCACTTTCACTGAAAATGATAAAATGGAAGGAAAGGGAAAATTAGGGCAATCCATAATCCCTTTTCATTTCTTCCTCATTCATAAGTAAGTTTTTTTAAAAAAAATAGGATATAATGTACATATATCAAAAGAGGAATAAAAGGTTAGTTTTTTACAGCACTTCCACTGTTCTGGTAAGAAATACATACTCCAGAAGGAACGAGGAAATACAAATTGTGCAGTTGTAGTAATTGTTCAATAAAGCCTCTCACATTGGCATTTAAAACTGGTACGGTGTAACATCAATCCAAAAGGTAAACTTCATGCTTAGCAACTAGGTATGAAAACTTATGGTAACTGCATTCTACACAAATATTCTTAAATTGACATTTTAATTACAGGCCATTAAATGAAGTAGTAGTAGATTTTGGTAGAAATTCTGATAAAAATATAATTTATAATTTTAAATTTTAATTTTTCTTTATTTAAAATGACATTAAGTAGCAACTAGCACTATGGCAAGTTAATGGGTGAGACCTTGAAAGTAAGGGAAAAAGTTTAAATGTTAATGTCTTTAAAGATAATTTGTCCCTGCTTTTTAAAACAAGGGCCCTCCACTGTTATTTTATACTTAAGCTTGAAATTGTATATTAATTAATCTCCAAACTTCCCTTTTAATAAGGCCCAGGAATTCCTTGTAGAAAACAAAAGTAAACCCCTAATTTTCCTAAATTACTCTAATTTTGGTGGAGTGTATCTTAGAGCTAACCTTTTAATTCCTTCCTTAATATAGATTAATATAATTATGTCCAAGTAGTTTTTAAAAAAGACTTGAACTTAGAAAAACTACAAATAAAGAAGCCAGAGACAATGCTGTCATCTAGGGCATATGGTTATATGAGCAATTAAAAGTAATTTTGTTGCATTCACAATCATTTTTTATTCATTTTATTTTTTTCAATTAATTTTTTTGGTACATTTTACATATACAATATAATGACATTCATCATTGGAAATTTGCACCTTTACATAATCTCTTCTGGCTCTTATTTTTTTCCCATTCCCCTGCTCTCCCTTAAACCCCTCCATCCCTCCCTATTTACAAAGACTTTGTTTCCATTTTTTCATTTTGTATATGTGCTGCCAAAGCGAGCACATCCATTTTTTCATTTTGTCATATTAATCCCATTCCCTTCTTTCCTTTCCCCTAGCCCTCCCACTTCCTTCCTCTTTGCCCCTTTTCTCCCTATTTCACATTATCTATTGTACCTTTGAGTCCTTATTTACACTTTCAGTTTTTCACACCAGAGAAACTATTCGGTATGTATACATGTGTGTCCTATTTATTTCACTTAAGAGTATTGCCTCAATGTTCATTCATTCAGCTACAAATGTCTCTAATTTCTCATTTTTTATGGCTGAGTAGTACTCCATTTTATTACAAAACAACATTTTCTTTATCCAATCTCTAGTTGATGGGCATTTGGTGTGTTTCCAAGTTTTAGCTATTACAAACTGTGCTGCTATGAACATGGGTGCACATATATCACTGTGGTGATTCTTTTAATTCTTTGGGGAAGATCCCCAACAGGCGAATACCTGGGTCAAATGGGACTTCCAGTCTTAGCTCTTTGAAGTATCTCCATACTGATTTCAACAGTGGTCACAACTGTCTACACTCCTACCAGCAGTGGGGCAGTGTTCCTCTTTCCCTCACACCCCCGCCAGCATTTGATATTGGTTGATTTCATGATAGCAGCCATTGTTTCTGGAGTGAGGTGGAACCTCAGTGTTGTTTTCATTTGCATCTCTCAAATGACCAGTGATGTTGAACATTTTTTCATATGTTTACTTGCTATTTCTACTTCATTGTCTGAGAAATGTCTGTTCATTTCAGATGTCCATTTTTGGACTGGGTCTTTAAATTTGGGAGGTCTGGTTTGTTTAAGTTCTTTATAGATTCGAGATAGTAGACCTTTGTCTGAGGAACATCAGGTGAAGATTTTTTTCCCACATTGTAGGTTGTCTCTTCACACTGTTGGTGGTTTCTGTTGCTGTGCAGAAGCTTTTTAATAAGAAGAGATCCCACTTGTTGATTGTTTGTGCTCATTCATGCACTACTGAGGTTTTGTTCATAAAATCTTTTCCTACACCAATGTCTTCAAGAGTTCTAGTTAACTTCTGTTCCAGCCAGTTCAGTGTTTATGTTTTTATATTTAAATCTTTAATCCATTTTGATTTTAGTTTAGTACATGGTGAGAGATATAGGTCCAGTTTTAACTTTTGGCACGTTGAAATCCAATTTTTCTAGCACCATTTATTAAAGAGGCTATCTTTCCTCCAGTGAGGGTGTTTGGCTCCTTTGTCCAAGATGAGGTGGCTGTGTGTGTCTGGAGTTGTATCTGCATCTTCTAATCTGTTCCACTGGTCCTCAGGTCTGTTTCTTTGCCAGTACCATGCTGTTTTTAATCACAGTAACTTTGTAGTATAGTTGCAAGTTGGGGGTTTTGATACCCCCTGCCATGTCTCTTTGGCCTAGAATTGCTGTTGGTATTCTAGGTCTGTTCCTGATCCAAATGAATTTTTGGATTGTTTTCTCAAGGTCTGTGAAGGATGCTGCTATAATTTCAATTGGGATTGCACTGAATCTATATAGCAGTTTTGGAAGTATGGCCATTTTCACTATGTTGATTCTTCCTACCCAGGAGCAAGGGATGTCTGTCCATTTTCTGATATCATCTTTAATCTCTCTTTTCAGAGTGCTATATTTTTCAGAGAAGAGGACTTTGATTTCTTTTGTTAGGTTGATTCCTAGGTATTTCAGGTTTTTGGATTCTATTGTGAAAGGAATTGTTTGCCCTATTTCTCTCTCAGTGAGTCTGTTGTTCATGTAGAGGAAAGCTATTGATTTTTGTGTGGTGACCTTGTATCCAGCTACTCTACTGAATTTGGTTATTAAGTCTAGAAGACTTTTGGTGGAGTTCTTGGGGTCTTCTATATAGAGTATCATGTCATCTGCAAATAATGACAGTTTGACTTCTTCATTCCTATCTTTATTCCATTTATTTCTTTCTCTTGTCTAATTGTTGTGGCTAATGTT